AGTAGGACTTGGACACCTCCTACCTGCTGAGTCTCAGCCCCAACTCCCTCCTTTGAAAAATATGGAGGGAGAGGCCAAAGGAGTAAAAATAAGTGAACATTCAGATGTGTTCTTCAACTGAAAACAGAAACCCTTGAGCAACCTTGAAGTTTACAGCCAGTAATCTCTGAACTAGTGCGGTCACTCGGCCAGAGGGCTGTTTTGTACAGCGCTGGTTCAGCTCCTCCCGCTATGCTGTCTGTGAATGCCAAACCCTTTGGCATGCAAGACGTAAATTCTTTGGGATTGAACTTGAAGGCTTCATGAGGGGACAGCTTGACCAATTTCATTAGTATCAAAATGCATTTCTTTTCCTTCAGCTGACATGACTTCCCACTGCGGCACTTGACAGCAGTGTCTTGGATAGGAGGGTGCACCAGATAATATGTATTCACAGTACTGAATCTCCTATCACTAAGGCTTTCTCTAATATTATGCAAAGGCTGATTACAGGGAAGTTGTCTGAAGTTACTTTTAAGCTTATTCTTTTTATCTTTTTAAGTGATGTTTAGGCTTTCCCTGCAATTATTGGTATATTCAGTACTTTGGTCAAATCAGACTTGTAGCTCAGCAGATTTCTAATATCCACAGATGGGAAAAGTACTGATTGCAAGCTGTCAAGAGCCATCTTCGCTGAAATACTAGTTGTGGGTTTGTTTCAAATGGTAGGGGCAAAACCATTTTTTTTCATGATGATGAGTTTCAGGTATATAAAGCAAATCTTGTTCTACAGCAGGCCCTGATGAAGCTAGGAAATAAACAGCAGCAGGTATATAGGGAAGGTGTATGGGAAAACCTCTTTCACCTACTGACTGGAGAGGATATGAGCATGGGGTTCAGTAGCTTTCCAAAAACTTGTATATCTGGATAATCTGGATACATAAATATGTAGAAAAATACATAGTTGTATGCAAATATCTGCAAATGTAGATATTTATCTGTATTATTAAGTGTTTGGTCTTCTTTCAATTTATAATTCTTATCTTTTGGTGATTAAAAAACCTCCTTTTTGAGGGGAATTAATAGTCTCAACTCAGCTGTTTAATTGTGAACTCATTTTGTTCTTGTGTTGTTTAAAAAAAAATCCGATTGACACTGCCAATCTATCCTTTCTGTACCACTCATTATTTATATGTGTCTGTCCTGCTTCCTCTTTTTTTTTTCTCCTGTGAAGTCAACAGCTCTAAAATTTTCACTTTCTGTGGAGGGAAGACTTTCTCCTTCTTTTTTGGTTACAAGCTAAAGTCAGACACAGGCTAGAGTGGGGAGAAGAAACAGGGATTCTCTCCTCATAGGCAGTGACTAAACCAGATTGATGTTCCTAGTGGTGACAGAAATAGGCAAGAAGGTTCTCACTTTAGACCCCCTGCACATTTTGGCTGAAGGAAAAATCTGTTAAAAGGTGCTAAACTTAACATGTTAATGAGAAGTTTCTTACTGTTTTCCTACAGTAAAGAATCTTTACCATTCTCTTTTTCCCTAAAAAAATCTGCGGGGTTCTGTGACTTTATTATAGTTTGAATTAACTTCAGGTGTATTCATGGAGCTGTTGGGGTCTGCATTATCCTGCAGAGGACTGTTCTTTAGCCCAGACAAGACTCCATAAAAAACATCCTTTGACAGTTGCCTACTGCTTCCAGGAGCTCTCCCTTCTTTTTCCATTAATTCATTTGCATTCAGAGCTGCTCCTGTATGCCAATTAGCTTTAATTTTTACTATACACACTGACATCAATGGCCAATGAGAAAAGAGCTAGCAGGGTTTTTAGTGTGCCCATAAACTACAGAAAATTGTCCTTGGACAAACTCCTGCTTTTAGGCTGGCTGACAACAATAGACATGGTGAAGTTCAGGCTAAGAGCCATTAAACATAATTACTATCACAGGGTAAAAGTTCAATTGTGCTAAATTTTAAATCTGCATAGTCTATGCTTATTTACAAGCTGGCTGGGTCTTCCTGTTACATAAGGGGGAATAAATCTGTACTTGAAAATTGTTGCCTTTTAACTTCAAAGGGAAGTGAAAAAATAGGGGGTTTAGAAGAAGAAAAACAACTACAAACTGAAAGCTTTCCGTATTTCCAGCTTCTTTTATGCCAATGGCTCCAAGCTGGTAAGTAGATGCAGAGCATCTTCTGGCAGATGTTTCTAACGCGCTTAAACTTTGTGTGCGTGAATGTGTGAGAGAGTATTGCATCTGTTATGAAGGTATCTGGGGGACAGAATGCAGATCAGTTTGTTTATGTGGGGTTGTTTTAAATATAACCACAGATGGGGCTTGGGGTGGAAGATCTTTCTCCCGCTCCTTTTCTTCTCTCCCTCCTCTGATAATGTTGAGCTCCCCACCTCAGAAAGTTTCAGCTCAAGTAGCTTCTGGATCAGTAGATGTCAGAGGTGGCAGGTTTTCTACAAGCAAACAAAAAAGGCAAAAGCCTGTGCTCATTTTGTATTTTCTTCCAACAGGTTAAAAAAAATAATGTTGACTAAGCTACAAGTTACAGCGTATTTTTAGAAGCACGGTGAATATACGGGGCTCTAAATCGCTCTCTGAAAAGCAGATTAAAATTAGGAAGTGCTAGAATAAGTGTGAAATGTTCATCTGTTGGAAGAGGGAGGGTATGAAGGACTGTGAAACTTGATAGAAGAGAAAAAGATTAGCGTGCTGACTAGCTGGAAGCTACATTTATGTAGACATTAGAAGGCAACACGATTTCAGCTGGACAGAACATAAGCTTCAGATCTTATGCAAACAGTCAAAGCTGTTTAACAATTGGTTTACCCCCAAAACCCCTGAAAGGAGACAGGTGAATACGATGCCAAATACATTTTTCATGTTTCTTAAGCTAACTGTTTAAATAGTTAAGTGAACATCTGTCCAAATTTCCCCATCATTTCCATTTAGAAAAGTCTCCTATTTGAAGGCTGAAGAAAAGCACCTGCTTAACAATGCAAATGGTGCTGTCTGGGGCCCCTTTATTTTGTTTAATCTAGATTGAGCTCCACACAACTGTGATGCTAATGAATAATGGATATTTTATACTTGTGCATGTAGCAGTGCTGGGCACAGAGCAAATCTAGGATTAACCTCCCAATTTCCCTGCCTAATGCATTTGACTCATTTTTTGAGTTTGCTGTGACTTGGGTACTCTAAAAACGGATGCCTGGTTTTATGGGAAATAGGAAAATCCTGGCAAAAGCTGTCAGGCTTTGCTTTGCCCAAGTGAGGTACTGTGGAAAGGGGCAGCTACGTTGAGGAACGGAGGGATGTCTGTAACAATGGCTTGATTTGCGAGCAGGTGCTCAGTGAGAGCCAGGGCGTTTCAGGGTGGAGACCTGGACACTTTTCACTGCCACATTTTTTCAGTCTGATCTGCTGGCATTAGGCGGCCGAGCCCCGTGCTCAGCTGGCTCCCCTGCCTGCCTTCATATGATGGAATCATAGGGCAAAAAATTTTGGTACTCCCTCTGCAGATTTTCTGTCCTGCACGAGTGTTTCAGTTTGGTTTGCGTGGTTTAACTGTCGGGGAAAACGGAGTGCTGTTTCTTCACAGGAAGGCTTGGAGTTTTCCAGCCAGGCCTAATGAAAGACCACTGATACCACTTCTAAAGAAAAATAAGGGTAACCTTTTTTAAGCTGGAGAGCAAGCTGACTCCAGAATCACGGCACTGTGGGAGGGAGGGAGAGTTGTGGAGGTTTCTATAACACTGCTGGGTGTTTTAATTCACAATTACTGGCCAGTAATAATTAGTATTGATTAGCTTGGCAAATTGCAGGTTTAGAAATTGGTTATAGATTTTCCTGATGCTTCTCATCTCCGTGTTGTGGAATCAGCCAGAACCAATGGCTTGAAACAAACCATGAGCCCAAATCTGTCTGCGGGCAGCGACGCGTTGCATGCGCAGAGCTAATGGTCAGCAGGAATCGTACATCTTGAGGCCCATCGCCCCAAGAATACGATTTTTATCATCTTCTAGGCAAAGTAACTAACCCACATGCATATTGACCACAGTCTGGGGTGAGATTGGTTTTGTCAGCCTGTTGATCGGTGCTCCCAGCTGGTTCCTGCGGCTTTAGCCTCGCAGTGGCGTGGTGCCCCCAGCGTGCACAGGGGTCTGCAGGGACGCCTTGGAAAAGGGGGCTGGGGGCTGGGGAAAGGGTGCTGCAGTCTTGGTTGAGTCCCCCGGCAGGAGCTGTAACAGCAGCAGACATCTGGGGAGACAGATAGTGAAAGCCAAGATGAAAATGGCAAAGCTTCCAGTGCTGAAGGGCTGTCCTCGAGGACTGGGGAGCTGAAGTGGAACAGCTGAGCATGCTGTTCAGGCCGCCGTGGAAGGGCTTAGCTGGCTCCTGGGAGGGATGCGGATGTGGGAGAAGGGGGGCACAGCCAGGGGGGAGGGCTTGCTCTCCGAGATGCCTTGCAAAATACTGTGCGCTCATTGCAAGAGAAATTATGTTTTTTCTTTTTAAACAGCAGGTAAGTGAGGTTCTTCCTGAGCTCTACTATAGTGTTGCCTGCCAGGATTGGCAAAGTTTGCAGGACTTGTGAGTCTTGCTGCGAGAGGTGCCAGCCTGTCCCTCCACCAGGTTGTGGCCAAGCAGAGCAAACCCACGCGGAGGAGGATGGGCGGCTCCGAGCACTTTGCCCACTGCTGCAGAGAGGCAGATAGTTTTTGACTGAAATTTTGTGAGCCCCAAAATAGCGCTCCGAATGTTTAATGCTTTTCTTCATTAGACAGCAAATTAGCCCTAGGCTTGCAAACCAAATGAAGTTTCATCTCGACGATCAGAGCCTGCTCACCAGGCAGTTTTACCCCCAGTTCCCGCACGCTGGTTGGTCAGTGAAATGGAGACTGCAACTTCTATTTATTGGTGCAATACAGTATTTGATACTGCTAATTACACTTAATTAGTCCTTCCACCATTTAATTAAAATGGCTTCTAATGATTGTGCTTCTTTGGCAGGCTCTTTGGTACCACCGGGAATTGTGCTGCCTGCAGTAAACTGATCCCTGCCTTTGAGATGGTGATGAGGGCCAGAGATAATGTTTACCATTTGGACTGCTTTGCCTGTCAGCTCTGCAACCAGCGGTGAGGACACAGTTATTATACACACAAACTAATTTATACCTTTGCCTGCAAAATGGGGAAACATTTGATCCACACTACCTGTCTGGGGCTCACGGCCTGCTGGTGTGGCTCGGGCTGGTTTATTAGGCTGACCTGGGTGATGCATGTAAGTACCTGTAGCCCTTTTACTGCAAATCCCCTTGGAGCTGGTGGGAGTTGAAGGGGCAAGGGGGGGCACACAGGCACAGACTGTATGCGGCACAGCTGCTGCTGAATAAAACAAACTGATTCAGCGTCCTTTCAGGATCTACCCTCTTTGCAGAATGCAGACGATGGAGAATGGACCTCCTCTGGCAAACTGATGTTATCTTGCTTAAATCACATTTCTGACAGGCTCAAAACAGAGGATGGCAAAGAAGAAGGATAAAGAGAAGGGACAGGAAGGAGAAAAATACTCTAGCTAAGCCGTTTCCAACACTGGGAACAAATCCCTTTAGTTGTTGTATAATTAACAGGGGATCTTGATGGTATAATTTTGAGTAGGCCTTGTGTATTTCTGCTGGGTTTTACCCGGTGGAAAATGCACATTGAGGAGTATAAGGAAGGGTCATGCACAGCGTTTTCACTTGGACTACCTGTAGCCAGTTGAATTTGGGACGGCTGTGAAAAGTCTTCCTAGCAGCGTGTTTATTGGTCATTGTAGGCAGAATGGAAGCCCACAGAATCAGATGTGATACAGATGTGATACACCTTCTGATGCATCCATTTATCCATCCTTGTCTAAGACAGACATGAAACTGCTTGCTGTTCTTACTGCTTGTTTTGTCAGGCTGTAGTGGCTGCCCAGCGTCCAAGGCCTGTGCTGGGCTTCCTGTTCTGAATCTGTGGTTGTGTTTCCCAAAGATGAAACTAGGATGCAATGCTTCATCCCGTGGGGAGGTGTGAGAGATATGTGTGGGATAGGTGCAAGAAGATGGAGAACCCAGTTCCATAAAAGTCAAACTAAAACACTGACTTTGAAATTTGTTGCTTAACCTAGAAAAAAGTCACAGTGGGATGTCTCACGAAGCAGCCATACATGTTACATGTGTGGATGCAAACCTGCCACCTCCCCTCTAACCTTAGGTGACCCTGTCTGCTTCTCCTTCTGTGCCCTCTGACAGTGGCTTAGCCCTTGAGATGGATGGGGTTGCAGCTGGTTGGTGCCAGAGCACAGAAGAGGCGAATCGGGTGAGCCTTGTGTAGCCCAGGTGGCTTTACTCGATCGCCGGCTGAAGGCGGAGGCGGTGTTTATCCGAGATATAAAACTCCCATTAATACTGTCGCCTCCACGGGCGCGGTGGCAGTGCTGGGGCGGCAGTGACATCTAGTGGCTCCTGGCCTTGGGCTCTCTCCAGAAGCTACACGAAATCTTTCAGTTGCCCAGTCTTGTTTTGTGACTTTTGAACATGCTCCTGCCACAGCCATGATCCCTGACCAGCAGCATGTGACTGCACAGAGGTGATACCCTAATTCCCCAAGATGCTCCTTCCACAGTGCTAAAATCACTGGTCAGTTCTGGGGTTTGTCTCCCGGTGCTGCTGGGCTCAGCCCTCAGGCTCAGTTCTCTTCACCCTGCTGATGAAGGCCAGGCAGGAGAAGGGTACTCCCAAACTCCACGAAGACATTAAGGCTGGAGCATCTCAAATATCCCTTCAGGCAGAGGCAAGTCTTGGCTATGAGCTGCACAGGGAGGAGTGCTGGGTTGGCCTTGGAGTCTGTAGGATGACTGTCATCAAACCCCTACTTTACCCTTCTTCTCTTGTGGAAAATCCTAGTGACGCCTAGTTTTCATTTTCAGTAATTTCTTTAAAATTTCACTCTTTTTTTCAAAGGCTCCAAAGAACCTCCCTCCCTCCCTCCCTTCCCTCTGCAGTTGCTAACACTGTTCCTGCACTCAGTGCAAAGTGCTGCCCTGCCTGCCCTTCCCGTAACCTCCACGTGCTGACACTGCCCGGCAGGAGAGCACAGATAATCCCCCCGATCTGGCAGAGCTGCGCTTTGATGCACAAGGGATTTGCTGCCCAGTTTGAGAGGAGCTGAGTTGTTCTGAAAGATGGGTTGAGTGGACAGCGTAGAGCTATGTGTAGATTGTTATTTTTGGCTGAGATCAGAGGGATACAAACTTTTATGACTTATTATTCTGTAGAGATTTTGGCTTGAAAGGGCAGAGTGGAAGTGATCCTGTAACAGACAACATTGGATGCTGAACTGAGAACAGTGAGATTAAGTAACCCTAAAGTCAAAATTGCAGAGGTGGATGCCAATACTAGTTGTGAATTGGAAACCCCACTGAGCCCCCTTATCGCTCTTCAGCTATGAAAAGATTTGATGAGGAAGACCTTTCTTTAATTCTCCTCTAGCTTCCTTGCCCTTCTGTAGCTGGACACTGTATAGAGTGTTAAACCTGTCAGAGCAAAATCTCTAATATTTTTACCAAGTGTGCAGTGTTTTCATTAGTTTCATTCTCTAAAACATCAGGTTTGCAACAAGTCCTGCATTGCTACTCAGCCTACTGTGCTTTAAACTCTTCTAAAGTCAAATGGTTATCATAGTGCTGAATAAAAGCCGATCACTGCTGTAACTGGCTAATAGGTCAGTATTACAAGGGTTGCAGGAAATCCAGCTGCTTCTGTTGCCATTATCTGAAGTGTGGTTTTGCTCAGAAGAAAATCACTCTGTAGAAATGGCAGGGTAGGTTCAGCACCTGTTTCTCACTGCTGCTGGCTGGAACTTGATCAGCCAGAGAGGCTCAGCAACATTCCTGCTCCAAGCATGGGGGCTGGTGGTGCGGTCCCACCTCTCTCTCTGAAGAGACCTGTGGGTTGGGACACAAGAAACTGAGCCTGAAGTTGCCCTGTTAAATTCTCGGTCTCCAGTTGTGATGCATCAGCTGAAAAGATCCCAGTTTACTGGTGGGTTTGCAGGACTGGCAGGTAGAAATAGTTGCCTTTCCAGTGAAACAAACCCTTCTCCCAAAACTTCACGTCATATTAAGGTACCCCTGCAGTGCATTTCAGTTCCCATGTGCTTGTACACAACACCCCCACCTTCCAACTCCCTAGTTCTCCAGCTCCTCTTTTGCTCCTCTAGACCCAAACCAGGTTTAGCAAGGGACAGATATTGATGCTGGTAGTAATTTTTGCATTTCTCTTCCTGGAGATTTATATGGTACTTAAGGTAGGGATAAGTAGTAAAAAGCAAGCAGCTGTGTCTGTTATTTATAGTGAGTAAACCTGCTGGTGGGGAAGGTGGTGTTAGGGAGAGTGTATGCAGTACAGTTTTTAGCATAAGAGCTGTTAATTTAAATTGAGAATAATTTTTAGCTTTTTTATATACAAAAAAGGTTGAATTTCATAACTGCTAAAGCATGTGCCACAGAGGGAAGAGGATGGATGGTCTCCAGTGAAATCCTATAAAGGCAGAACCAACACTCAGTTCTCTCTGTACCGACTTGGCAAATTAATCAGCTTATTTGCAGGTGTCCAGTTGGAGAAAACTTGTGCCCATGTTGGACCTATAAAGGAGCTCTGAACTTATCGGTCCTGTTCTTTTAGCAGAAAATACTCAGTTTTATGGAGATGCTCTGCCTGAAGCTGCCTGAGTTAAAATGAAGAAAGTATTTTAGTCAAGGAATAAACAGTGCCAAAGCTCTGCCTGGGAACAGAGGAGATGGGCATTTGAGGTCTGCTAAGTCTCCTGAGGATGGGGTCATCTCCACTGATCTTCCTTCAGAGCCTGGTTCAGAGATGCCATGAGGCACAGCCCCCGACCCAGGGTGCCTCTCTGCTTTAGGGCCCTGGGGCTGATTTCAGACTCAGCTCCTGGGGCAGGGAGGCACAGCTGTGTGTTCTGGTCTGTCATTGCCCTGCCAGTGTGATGGACAAAAAACAGCCCCTGAATTGGGTGCAAAGAACGTTATTTGTTATCTTAAGGAGTAAAGATTAGCTTCTGATTCCTGAGCAAGCAGACAGGGCAAAAAAGCTATTGGCTGTCAGTTCACACCTCTCAGATCTTATATGTGGAACTTTTTTGACCTTAATGGTCAAATAAAATTGTTAAATATCACAAGCTTCTCTGTCAACTTCAAGACAAACAGAACAATTTACATGGTATATAGAGAGCTGTGCCCTTCGCTCAATGAAGATAAAGGTTAGGAGTCCAGCCACCGGGAAATTTCTATTTATTGTTCGGCACTGTACACAAGGGGGTGAGGAAGGACTTAATAGCCAGTCCTTGCCTGGAAATTAGTGTAAATACTGCCTCACCCGAGGGAACTGTGGAAACATGGATACCGGCAAAAACTTCAAATAGTCTCTGTGTAATATCGGCCGCTTGATTTCTCGGTTGTAGGGCCGACACCTCTTGTCTGCAGGGACAAATCCCTTCACTGCTCCTGGTCTCCTGCCGCTGCTGGTGGTGGGACCCGGCAGGGACCGGGATCTGCTCCCTGAGCTGCTTCCTACAACTGTGGCCTGGAGCCGAGCACAGCTGTGCCAGGGAAAGGGATGGCAAAACCCTGGGGTGGGGAAGGGGAAAGGGAAGCGGGCAGAAGCACGTGGGCTTTCTTGGGCTCCGATGCCACTGGCAGAGCTAGAAATCAAACTGGTCACCGCAGTCGCCTTGAGACCCAAGCATACTTACACCCACTAATTCTTTTTATCTTTCAGGTTCTGTGTGGGAGACAAATTTTTCCTGAAGAACAACATGATCTTGTGTCAGATGGACTATGAGGAAGGGCAGCTGAACGGGAGCTTCGAGTCCCAGGTTCAATAACAGACCCTGCTTCGCTGAAGCACTGTGGGATGGGCGCTTGGCCGCATGAGCAGCGAGGGCGCCTGTCAGCTTGCCTGCAATATTTTTTTAATTCTTGGTCCAGAGAGGACTATATACATTGTAGTACTTTTCCCCCCCAACACAAAGCAGTTACAATTTTAGATGTACAGTTGTGCCTGCTTAGCTGAGCACTGCATTGCCTGTATGTTTGTGAGTTTTTGGGGTCTGGGGGAGGGCTCTGTACAGTCTGTTTTCTGTATATAAACTGGAACATTTATTTTATGAAAAATGTAATGCAATTTTATTACTGGTGTGAATTAAAAATTATGAATGTTTCCTGGTCATCTTTGCTGTGGTTTCTTCCCCATGTGGCAAAAGCCTGTATTTCCTGTGCTTTATGTTGAGCAGACTATTAGAAACATACACACAGATTCCTGGAATCAGGAGGCAGAGGCAGGTTCACAAACACCAGCTGGGGGAAATGCTGCTGCAGAGTTAGACCTCTCTGCTTGAACAGTGCAGAGACTTGTGTCCAACCACCTGCTTCCCTGTACAATGGGAGGGAACAAGCTGGAGGCAGGTGATGATTGGGAACCATCAGCGTCGCTGGCCGGGTCCCACCAAGGCTGCTGAGCTGCTGGCTGAGAGGCACCTCGCTTTGCACCTCTATGAACTCAGACAGAGCTTTTCCATGGCCAGGAGCACTTATTGGCCGGCTGATACGGCATCTCCAGTCTGGTCTGTGAGGAGCAGGCTCTCTCCAGCCCTGCCAACAGGTACCTGGGCATTGATCAGGATATTAATTTCAAGGCTTTGATAGGCAGTGGTGTTTTCCCATGGGGCATCGCTTGTCAGAGCTGCTGCAAGGGCTGATGTCAGGGTTTGAACATGACCGGGCGCTGATGCAGCATCATCCCTTCCCACAGCCCTTTTTTGCTTACTCTGTGCCAGGTGCTTTGACCTCCCACGTAACAAAAGCGATGAGATTTGAAGCATCTCCTGGAGAAAAACTCTGAACTGTGTTCCTGCTGCGATGCTTTGTGCAATGATTTTCAAGGTTATGCAATTCATGTGCAACCCACTGGACTGTATCAAACACATTTCTCTGTATGGTGAGTGTCACTTTAATATAGTGCACCAGTAGCTGTAAAGGATGGCTGCAATTCTATTTATTTTGTCTTCTGGCTTTTTCTTAAATTTACCCCCCTTTCCTTTAATAAATAGACACCGAGTACTTTTTTTCTGATGTGACTTAATTGGTTGCTGGTCCTGGGTCGCTTGTGTGTGTTCTCTGAATTGCAAATGCCAAATACAGTGCAGCTTGGTGCTGTTCTGACTGTTGCATGAAATGCTTTTATGTACACCTGTGCTAAATAATGGCTTAATAGAAGCAAAACTCCAGTAGACACTTAGTGAGCTTAGACACTTAGTGAGCTTCAAAATATTGCCTGTCATCTAAAGCTACCTGAGGTATGCGAAATGACTGAGTGATTTTTCTTCATAAACAGATGTTTTGGGTTGGGAGACCCATTATAAAATGTTTGGCCCCATCCCTCTTTATTCCCATAAACATGGAATAGCAATTTAAAAGCCACCTATAGCTGCCTATGGATATGTGGTGTTTTAACTGCTTCTCCAATTTTCGTGCTTTCTGGGGTTGGGGAAGATTGTCTTTTGAGAAACTGTAGAGTTGATGCTCTTTTTGTAGAGGCTGTCGGAGGTGGCCATGCTGGGGCTAAGGAAGGAGTAGCTTGTTACTCAAATGTTTTGATTTCTTCCTTTGAAATGGGCTGCCAGACAGTCACTGCCTCTGCCTGTGCTCCAGAGTGATGGCTCCTCACCTGCCTCTGGGATTTGCTGTAATTCATCACACAATGGCAGCACGAGGGTGCTGCTCTGTGGTGAGGAAGGAGGCATTAAAACCAAACCAAAACCACTCACCAAACACGCTGGAGGGAGCTATTAATTTTTAGTTCAGATTCTTAAGGAGGGTTTTGGTACCAGTTTAAAAACTGAGTCCTTTGGAGAATGGTACCTTCTAGAAAGCATTTTTTTCTTGGCTTAGCTGGTCTACTTACTTCAGAATTGAAGGGAGGAGGAAAGTGTAACTTTTCAGAACTGCCTCGCTAATGCCAGCTAATGGCTCTGCAGCTGCCTGATCTCTTGTACATCGCTGGGAAAGCTGCAGAAATGTCACCCCAGAGGGAGGAGGATGCTGGAGTAGAGGGTCGTTTGTGCAGGAAATCCCACTCTACTGTTGGATGAACACAAATGGCGTTTGGTTGGTGTGAGCCACGTCTTGCTGTGTATGTGTGTCCCCACAATGGCTCTGCAGGGCGGGAGTATCTGAACTGGGCCCATTTGGAGGTGTCATTTACACTGTGGGCCCCAACTTACATGCAGTGGCTCTCGCTGCATCCCTGCACTTGCCCCCGCTGTGAAATGCAGGCAGTACCCTGCAGTACAGGGACTTCATTTCTGATGGGCAGCCCACTTGATTTATCACCATGGCTGTAGATCCAGTTGCTGATGTCTAACAGGGAATTTCACAATGCTGTTTTGTGCAAAAGCTTCAGCTGGCAGTGGGGTGGGTGGGAGGAAAGCCTGGGGCAGGACACAGCTTCAAGCTGCTGAGTGGGGTGCGGCAAATGTCCAGTTGTCTTATATTAAAAAAAAAAAAAAAAAATAATAACACAAGGGAGAAATTGTGCAGCATCTATATCTCTCTTTTCTGTGTCTGCCAGCAGACAAGGCCTGCCTGCCATGGCCTGTGCCCCGGAGAGTGTTGGAGGTGGGATATCTTTAAAAATAAAAATCCCAGGAGGACAATGCAATCATGAATTTTTGTCTGAACGCTGCAAATTTGCTTAATAGAAACAAGTGCTGGAGTGCAGACCTGCTGTTGAATAATCGCTTCCACTCTACGGAGCAGAGCACGGAAACCTTTTGATGGTGTTATAGTCATCACTTGGCATAAATATTCATTCAAGGAATCAGAGCAGAGTAAATGGCATTTTAGCCGCTAATCATTTAGTATTAGCAGATAGCCCTTTTACTGCTAAAGATAACCACTGCTTAATCAGTTTAGTGACCACTGGCATATAGTATGACATTTAAGCCTGTGCCTCAGTCCCCACACTGAGGACATGGCTCCCGGTGACCCCTCTGTCCAAACCTCCATCATTTCCAATGTCAGCCCAGCCGCTGCCAGCTGCCAGCTGCACTCAACTGGCTTTAACTTCTGCATTATGTGCCATTTGCCTCCTTATCTTAGATCAAAGAGGTATTTTAAGTTCATGCTACAAATGTTAAAATCTAGGATCTTCTTTCTCTTTTTTTTTTTTTTTTTGTAGTCGGGGCTAATGGCTGATCATAGCGCAGTCTGATTTTGAGATTAAAAACAAACCAGTATTTAAAGGCAATCGAAATCTTAAGCTTCTTCTCCATTCATCTTTAATGCTGGTGTAATTGCTGCACAGATTCTGGCTCTTCCTCCAGACTCAATTTATTTTACTTTTGGAGCGTGCCCCTGTCTGTCAGAGGGATGTTATACTTCCCTGAGCAGCATTAGCGCTATTGAGCACTCCGCCACCGGCAATCCAGCTCACCCCATTTCGTATCTTGCCAAACAAGTTAATCTAATATTAACAGCGGTTTGTTACCTCGTTGTTAGCTTAATTTACTTTACAAGAAATGCTATATTTGCATTTCATCCCTCTGTCGCTGGCTTGCGAACCGCGCTTCCCAACGCCAAGAAGGGACGGTTTGCGCCGCTCGGCGCCAGTCCCTCGGCGCGGCGTTGCCACACGGAGGAGGAGGCCATCACCCCCACCAGGCATTTTCCCTAATTGGCCAAGGGGGATGTGGGGAGTTGGAAGGAGGATTTCGAAAGCCACAGAGCGGGTCCTGGAAATGCAATATTCAGAGTAGCGCAAATACCGCCGCTGCTCTTCCAGTAATAGGGCTGAGTCACAGGCAGCAGTTTTCCCTGGTGGCAAACATATACAGTAAATGTCTTTGGTATGGAAATCAGCAGATGTGTGGGCACAGGGGCAGACGTTTGTAACACCAACAGGTTCTTTGGGCTTTCAGGGGGTGCTACCATGCCAGCCCCTGCCACACACCAGGGATTTGTCAAGGTCTCTCCACCGGCCTGGTGAGGGCCCTGGGCCTCATTTCCAAAAGGCTGGGGTGGGGGAGCTGTGAGCAAAGTCCTCCAAACAACCACTCAAAATCTAATTCCTCAAATGAGCCAGCTCCCAGCCCTCAGCAGCTCTCAGACAGGAAGGCTCTTCTCCAGCAGCCTTATGGAGCTGTGCCAGCTGCAGGGCTGGGGTTGACCTGTAGTGGCCATAGGTAACATCAGTGATTTTGTACCTGGGGCTGTCCCCTCTAGGCTAGGGAATGTGGGGTTGTTGGAGATGGAATGGCTTTTGCCAGTGAAAGTTTCTGACTTAATTCTTGATTAGGTCACTCTGTGTCCCACTGCTAAGCCCTGTACCTGTTTATGGGGTGCTGGCTTCCCACCTGCTCTAGCAATTGCTCCTTTCCCCTGTGCCAGCAAGGCAGCTGCCTGCAATGAGTTTGTAATATTATTTCCAAATGGAAACAGCAGTGGGGTGATGCCATTTACCCTGTCCTCTCACCCCCCTGTGTCCTCAGACATCAGCTTCTCATGCAAAAAATAGACCTTTTAGCAGAGAGGGAGGTTGCAAATGTTTTTCTAGGGAAGCCCACTCAGACCCGGAGCTGATTCCTGGCTGCCTGTCCTGTTGCACCCCAATTCAGCAGATAGATTAAGCTTCTCTGGTGGGCAGGCATCTCTCCAAGACTCTCCACCTCTCTTGTTCATCCCCAGGCACAGTATTCCCTGCAGCACCCTCCAGGGCAGGGCTGAGCTCCCAGTGCAGGCACCAGCTCTAGGGGAAGCCTCAGTTTGCACAGCTTGATGTAGGTATCACTGCTTACAGGAACCAAATGACTCCATCTGTCTGGCTGGCTTGCTCTGGTTTTAATAGTAAAATGCTGAAGGATGCTGAGGATGACTCTGGCCAGGCTGAGATGTCTGGTGGGGCAGCTGCTTCATGGTGCAGAAGAAGGTTTTTAGTAAAGATCTGAGAGAAAGCAAAGCTGGAAGGACCAAACCTGCAGAAGCAGCAGAACATGGAGAGGTGGATTGAAGTGGGGGATCAGCTGCAGATGAAAGTACCAAATATTAGTAGCTTATTGTAAGCAATTGGAGGGCAAGTGCCCCAAACAGAGATCTGTTTTACCACAAAAGCACTGTGAAGCACCTCATAAGTAATGCAAAAGTATAAGTGTAAATATAAATAACATAAATATATTGCACTGGACACAGATCTGAGGCCAGTCATCCCAGGAGAACGTGTCCGGGGGGAGATGATTTAAGCTACTGCTGCACTGCTTGTCCACCATCCCTCCTGAGGGCCAACTCTCTCTCCCCCTCAGGCCCAAGAATTCACTCTCCCTGGGGTTTTTGCCTATGTGAGCAGCTGAGTGCCAAAGCTCCCATGCTGATGCCCAGTGCTGGATCTGCTCCCACCTGCCCACAGCACAGTTAGCTCAGCATGTAGGGATAAATACCACTGAGCAGGCAAATGGATTGGGTTTTGGACAAGAGGCTGTCTCAGACCCAGGTATATGCACATCCATCCTCTCTGAGCCATGGGCAATTTTTTCCCCTCCAGGTGATACAGGGGCAAAAATGGGACTTGGCTGGGTGAGTAACTTTGGCAGCACTATAAAACAAAGGTGCTCTGGCGAGGGGAGGTGTGGTGGCCAAGGAGGCGACCCAGGCTCAGGGCTGCTGGAAATATCAGCCTTCTCCCTCAGTGGGTGCCCAGCAGCCAGAGCCATGGGCAGGGCCTCAGTGCAGCTGGAGCCTGGTGCCAGCCCATGGGCACGGTGTGGCAGCACCTGCAGGCGGTGGCATGGCCATGGGCACCTTGCACACCCGGGGCAGTGCACAAATACACATTCAGGCTCCACCATTGACCAGACACGTAACCCTGAATTCCCAGGAGTTCCCTGGAAGGAATGTTTCACTACTAACGTAAAGAAATTAATTTGAGAAGAGCAATAAGGTGCTGCCTGCTCTCTGCCTGCGGGTGAGCAGAGGGGCCTGGCTACCTGTTTCAGTCTTCAATGGTAACACTTCTGGAAAGAAATGTTAATGCAACCTGAACATTTTTGGGTGATTTTACTAAGAAAATTACCTTGAGAA